CGTGTTTCAGTTTTACATGCAATAACTGCAGTTTAAATATCTTGCAGTTGCACTGGTTGGTCCGAAATCACTCCCTACCAATGTGAAATTCCCGCACAAGTTTTTCGTCAAGAGTAAAGTTCGAATTCCGGTAAAAGTTATATCCAGAAAACAAAATTATGCATCCATGTTTAATTTCATCTAATTAAGTACCACTTTAATTTGTTGCTATCAAGCCTTGCTTTCAAATAAATATTGAACTAAAATAAATCCCCGGTTTCGAAATTACTTAGTGAAATGATTACTTAATAATCGGTTAATGCAGTCCGACGATAAGGCTGGATTTCCTGTTCAAGAATTCAAATCGGGAGTTATCTACATTTCACCCGGCCAAATCCGAACAAAGCCGGTTGTTGAAAAACCAACAAGCTCTTCTTCTGCATCAGAAATTACAAGTTCGAATATTCCCGAGGTTGTTTTAAATCATTTCAATTATGTAAATTAAAATATTATCTTGTTTTAAATTATTATTATTTTTTTTTTCAAGATGGCTGCAAAGAAACTTCTTGACATTCAGCCTTCAGAGCTCAAGTTTAACTGTGAGCCAAATGACATCAATTTCAATGCACTATCCAAAATAAATACGCTATTCTTCTTCTTCTTTTTTTTTTCCCGATTTTTATTTTTCGTCTTATTCGTTCTTTGATTTTCATCAGTTGAGCTGAAAAAGGACGTCACTTGTTTGCTTCAATTGACAAACACAAGCGATAATACTGTCGTCTTTAAAGTAAGTTTCCATTATACCATGGCCGGAAAATCGATCGATTGTAAAATTGTTTACAGAAGCGAAGTTGATATATATATGTATTTTATACGTCGACATGAATAACCATACATTTTATTTGTTTAGGTGATAACTAATGATCGAAATAAGTATCGTGTTCGACCAAACATTGGGATTATTTTGCCTAAATCATCTAGTAACATCATTGGTAACTTTTCTTTGTTTGATTTTTTCATTGTATCGTTTCGCTCTATCTCGTATATTATCTAATGGTCGACCGTATATAAACGTAAAGTTTAATTGTATTTTTTTTGGGTGAAGTGACAATGATAGCTCAAGAAGAGATTCCTTCAGACAAGCAAGGCAAAGATAAGTTTCTAATTCAGAGTATAGTTGTTCCTCCTTCGACGACTACACAAGACGTTACTCCAAAAATGGTAATTACGTTAACCAAACAAATTCGGGGTTGATCAAAGCCGACATAAACTCTAAAACAATTCGTGTATGTTTAGTTTTTCAAAAACAATTCTCAAAAGTTTCTTCCTCCTCCAGACATAATTGACTGCGAGGGTAAAACGATTTGACTGATACAGTGAAAAAAGTCTTCACTAAAAAACAAACAAACATCACATTATTTTTCGAATTCTACTTCTAAAATGCATTTTTTCTAACACATTTAAACAAGATTTGACTGCTACAGTGTATTTTGTCTCGTCTCAAATTATAAACAAACATTACTTTCATTTTCAAATTAGTCCCTCAAAAACATATTATAGGAGAACGCATTCCAAGAATTAAGATGGGAAGAGTAATAGTTTTATTTTTACTATTGAAATGTACTACGTTTACTAAAACTCGTCCTGCAGTCAAAATTTAATTTATTCAAGTACAATGTTTTTGTGTGAAAGTGTTTCTTGCTTAATTTGTAGTTTGATGACAAAGAGCGCCGTGGCGAAGATTTCGAATTGGGAGTCGTCTACATTTTCCCATCACCAATACCCGATGTGCAATCATCAACTTCTGACACATCAAAAGCGCCTTCGTCACTCGAAGAATCAGAAGTGCCTTCGTCACTCGAAGAAGCGGAAGTTGTATTGCAAAGAGAAGAAGTACCTTTGAATAATAATGCTTACGTACGTAATTAATTTGCTTCTCGTAATTTCTTCTTATTTTTTTTCAGTTTGACGTATTGTTCGGACAATACTCACGTTACATATACGTGTGTATGTATATATATATATATATATATATATATATATATATATATATATATATAACAATGCAGGTAAAACAGGAGGTGAAAACAAATTGGACTCGTGAATTTGGTGATTGTTTAATCAAAGGCTTAATGGGGATAATCTTTTGGTACCTCTTGAACAAATTAATGACCGTTATATGGTAATAAATATCTGACATTTAATCTTCACTTATAATTAAGTAGCAATAACAAGAAGAAATTAAATAAAATTAAATTAATTTTTTGTGACACATTGTTGTGGCGCAGGAGTGCGAGTGTTGTGATGATAACGTTGGTCGGAATGATGATAAAACACTTGGTTTCGAACTCGGTTGAAGATTGGTTTGTGAAGGGCCTTACCGGCGTGTTCGTTCATTTCGTGAGTCGTCTTTTCTGGCGAAATGCCGATGAAGGTGTGCCGCGAGCTTAAGTATTTAAATTTATTTCAGAGACAATGAAATTTAAACTGGATTTTTTACTGTGGAAGATTCCAAATAAGGGGTTTTGTTTTGTGAGATCAATGACCTTTTGGTGGTGTTCTATGCTTGTGATTGAGCTGATAAACTTCGTGCTGATTATAAGTTTCTTCATTTGTGTGATTTGATTGTATATATTTGCTTGTGATTAAACCGATAAAGTTCGTGTTGATAATAAACAATTTTGTTGTGTGGTGTGATGTATGATTTTTCACTATTAATTGTACATTTTCGTTTACAATTTCAATTGTTTTGTGATGCTACTCAAATGTCGATTGGGCAATCCAAGAATCTTTGAGTCCATAATAGTAGAGAATACCGAGAGTAACTGCCACATGTTTGGGTTAGTTGAAGGGACAACTCCACTCGTTGTTGCACAAATATCGATTGGACAATTTCAATTGTTTTGTGATGCTGCTCAAATGCCGATTGGGCAATCCAAGAATCTTTGAGCCCATAATAGTAGAGAATACCGAGAGTAACTGCCACATGTTTGGGTTAGTTGAAGGGACAACTCCACTCGTTGCTGCACAAATATCGATTGGACAACCCATAAATATATGAGCCCGCAAGAGTAGAGTATGCCGAAGATTTGTTTTCACGTGTCTGGGGTGGTCGAAGAGATGGGTCCACTCATTGCTGCTCAAATGTCGATTGGGCAACCCAAAAGTATATGAACCCGCAAAAGTAGAATATGCCGATAATTTATTCTCACGTGTCTGAGTTGGTCGAAGGGATGAGTCAACTCTTTGGTGAACAAGTATGAGCCCATTGCTTATACTCCAAAAATGATAATTACATATTTAACAAAAATAACAAATTTAATTTATGTAAAGTATAATATTTTTTCTATGTTATAAAGTCTATTTAAAAAAAAAAATGGAAAGTGCTCAGATGCGCTTAATAATTCTTCTTGATTTTCAGAAAGAGTGGGCAACCCAATGTCCACGTAAGCATTTATCATCACAGCACAAATATGCACCAGCCGGGAATCGAACCCGGGTCTGTACCGTGGCAGGGTACTATTCTACCACTAGACCACTGGTGCTTTTGCTCTTATTTCTCTCTTAAACATACATCAACCTTTATTTTGAGCAGATACTTTGTGGCCAAGTCACAAATTCTTCATGGGGACTTTTTAATCTACAAATTTAATTGTAATTTTGTGTAAATACTGCAAATGTGGAGGATTAGGGATGGCAATGGGTAAAGTTTTGTCGGACTTAGACTCATAATCGGCTCGTCTGGGACGGGTCTGAGTAAGTTAAATGGCTTTGGATCGGGTAATGAATTTAAGTTTCTAAAATCGTATGGTTCAGGGTCGGATTACGGGTCTTATTGCAACCGACCCATATAAATATATTATATTTAATAATCAATAGATACAGACAAACTAATTTAGGATTTCATATGTCAAACTTTCAATTCCATCTTGTCTATTTTTATTTGTCCATTATTTTTCACTGTTTTTTTTAATCTCATTTATCGTAAGTAATATATATCGCTTGTTGACTACCGCTAACCGTCTTGTCTTTTAATATTATTTATTGTAGAAGTTAAATATAATTTTATTACACACTTTATAGCCCTTAAAGATTTGATGTGTTTAGTAGACTCTTAGCATTATTGTTATTTTTGTATTAAAATTAGGGGCGGCAATTTTGTAACTTGGACCGGATCCGATCCGGATCCATGTGAATCGGATCCAAATGGAACCGGATCCTAAATCAACCTATATGAATGGATCTAATTTGGATCGATTAAACCGATCCGGATTGGATCCACATGGATTCATTCCATCTTTAATTCAACTTATGAAGTTGAATATCTCAATTTTTCGGGTTTAATATCTCAACTTTCACACTTACACATAATATTCACACACTTTTCACACACACACATTTCAAACACACCCACACACTTTTTTACACACACTCACTCACATACACACACACACACACTTTTTCACACAAACACACACACTCACATACACATTCACACGTTTTACACACACACACACACTTTTTCACACAAACACACACACTCACATACACATTCACACGTTTTACACACACACACACACTTTTCACACAAACACACACACTCACATACACATTCACACGTTTTACACACACACACTTTTGTACACACACGTGCACACATACATACAGGCACATACACACTTTTCACACACACACATACACACACACACACTTTTCACACACAATCCAAGACATTTTTCACAAACACACACATTAGGGCTAGACTTGACCACATGTTCGGTTAGAACCGGAACCGGAACCGAAACCGGAACCGTAACCGAACCAGGGTCAACGGGTTTAGAACCGAACCGGAACCGATTTGACTGGCTCTAATTAGGGTTGAAAATGTTTGATCTTTTAAATTTACAATTAAAATAATATTTTGACTTTTTTTTCAGAAAATTATTTTAGTATTTAATTTGGTTTTGGTTGGATTCAATATGACCCACTTCATTTTTAGTTGAACTTCCAATGGATCTAAAGTGGATTCACATGAATCCAGTTTTTAAAAAAAATCAACTTGATTCGATCCGGTTTGTTTCAACTAAATTTTAATCTAAACTAGATCCTTATAGACCGAACCGGATCTAATCGGATCCGTGGAACCGGATCCAAATTACCACTCCAAATTAAAATGTACTTTGTGGATTGAATGAAATAATCAATTATAACAACAGTGAAAACATACTGATTCAAAGCATTGTACATAAAGAAGCAATGAATCTTACTAGGGCTGGAAAAAAAAATACCGATTACCATATACCATGGTATACCAACCAAGCATTACCGAAAAATTACCGAAAGAACAGTTACCATTGTCTACGGTACGGTATTAGTACCGTACCATTACAATATGGTACGGTATTGGTATTGTATTTCTAATACCACGGTAATACCGTACCGTACCGCAATTTCCATTTTAATCCGATTAATATGTTTTTTTCGATATTATTTTTTGTAATTCTATTTTGTTTACTTAGAATCTTATAAATGGCAACAATTATTTTTCCCTTAAGTTAGCGGTAGTGTATTGTTTTTTTTTTTTTTTTTTTCTACTAAGTTGAATTTTGCAATTGAACATATATGTTCTACTAAATTCTCTTTTATGTTCCCTATAGCCAACTAATTTTATTATATATGATGTATGAATATTTTATTTTTTTTACCTACATGTATGTATAGCATTGGTAAAGTATTTATTGTATGTAATAATTATTAAGTACAATCAAGTTCCTAACAAATACCTAGTTGTTCCATTAAACAACATTTACATTATTATGGTATATGTTCTTGTTTCAATGAAGCAAATTATGTTAATTATTCCGATTATACACCGGACCTTCTTAGAAATTAAAATACAACTCATACAAGAGTAACTAGAACTATTTTCAATTGGGATATATATGTATATTTTTAACTCATTTGTTCTTTAATCTTTGATGCATCACCAAGTACGGTAGAGTACCACGTACCGATTGTACCGTACCGAAAATAACGGTATGCCGAA